CTCGTCAACCCCCCCCCCCCACCGGGCTTCCCAAAGTGAATGTTGCACTCCGGCGCCCGAATTATTCTAGCCGAGAAAAGAGCCAGAAAATTTTGACAGCCTTCTCTATGACTTTTCTTTTTTTCCCTCAAAGATAATCAAATAATGACTTCATTCTAACATACCTTTATACTCTCCAAATTCCAGCATTTGACCAGAATAGATCATCTTTTCCATCACAGACCTTTCCACGAAGTAGTAATCAACACCTTCAGTCTCTCCAGCCCTGAAAAACGAAGATCCATTTCAATGAGATAAATTTAGGGGGCAGTTCGGCTTGGTGCGGGCGCAAAATTGTACTCATGGGGACCTGCATAGGCCACCCTGTGAAGTCCTGTAAATTCTTGTTAACAAAACGGCTCACTTGTACCATCCTGCAGTTCATAAGGGTTTACCTGTTGGTTAGCAAAAGGACTAGCTAAAGTGCAAAATGCCTCTTCCAAGCCGAACAGCGCCTAATTAAGAAGTACTAGGCTACAGGATCAACCTTTTTATTCCTAACAAAAACTCACCTCATAGTCCTGGTGGTATGCGGTACAGTAGTAGAAAACCGTTGAGGGTATCGCGCTAACAAACGCCGTTTCAGCTCGTTTCTCAACAAAATTCTCGTAAGCTGATAAGATTTAGGCTCTAATAAGTGCACAATGATCAAATCTCGGGAAAAAACCAAGAAGAACATGAACAGTATACCTTCCAACACCAGGCGGTCCAAGTAGTACAACAATCCGCGAACCATCTTCTCTCGCTGGGATACGGCACACCGACTCGTAGATCATTTCCGCCTGTAATTCTACTCTATTTCCAAAGAAAAATGTCACTTTCTGGGTCAGTTCGGCTTGGTGGGGACACTGAATGGTACTCAGCGAAGCGGTCTTCACAAGGTGTGAGGGCACCTTGTGAACACCTGCAAACTCCTGTGATCAAAGTGACTAACTTGTACCTTTTAACTACTACTCTAGGATCACCAAAGTGAGACCTGCTAGTTGACCTGAACTAACAAAGAGAAACTGGTGAAGTACAAACTGCCCCTCCTAAACCGGACAGCGCCGTTCTTGCTTGAAATCGCTTATTCGTGGGGGATGAACCTTGTGGGCCTGGGCACGAACACATGAAATATCCATCAGGCCGCCGTGACACTTTGAATTAAGAGGGATCCACGACACTCGGTGGGAGGTATCTATGTTGCCTATTACCCAAGTCGCAAATTCCCATACTGGCAAAGTATAAATGCGGCCTAATATTTGACCCAAGACTTTTCGAATGAGTGGCACTCCAGAACCAGCTTCGGGCGCTGCTCGGCTTCATAATTGCATTTCGCTTTTTTAGTAGTCTCTCTTATTAGTTTAAGGTTAGATTACATGTAATGCCCACTCTTTTCAAATGCAAACGAAACTCTTGTTAATGCACTGCATCATAGGAACTTAGAGGTACCCGCAGGAGACAACAACAGGGATCGACGGGAACCAGCAAAATGCCCT